GACTGGGCGATCGTCCAGTCATCCAATCACATAGTAACAGTGCAATGCATAAAATGATTCCGTTAATGTTCACATCAAACATCAGAATGGGGGAAAATGTGTTCTCATTGACCATGTCATGGTTGTTGGTTCCAGATGGGCTGGTTTGAGTATTTTACTGATGATCTACTGGGATTTTCGAGCACAACAGTCTCTAGAGTTTACAAAGAATGGAATTTTTTTGTGAAAAAAAAAACATCCACTTAGCAGCAGTTTTGCATGCAGAAACACCTTGTTGATGAGAGAGGCCAGACAGGTTCAATCTAACAGCAAGGCTACAGTAATTTACACCGATCTGCCATGACATTAAAACCACTGATAGGTGAAGCGAATAACATTGATTATCTCTTTACAGTGGCACCTGTCAAGGGGTGGGGTATATTAGGCAGCAAGTGAACAGACAGTTCTCGAAGTTGGAAGCAGGAAAAATGGGCAAGCGTAAGGATCTGAGCGACTTTGACAAGGGCCAAATTTTGACAGCTAGACGACTGGGTCAGAGCATCTTCAAAACAGCAGGCCTTGTGGGGTGTTCCCGGTATGCTGTGATTAGTACCTACCAAAAGTGGACCAAGGAAGGACAAACGGTGAACTGCCGGCAGGGTCATAAGCACCCAAGGCCCATTGATGCGCATGGGGGTGTGAAGGCTAGCCCATCTGGTCCGATCCCACAAAAGAGCTACTGTAGCACAAATTGTGAAAAAGTTAATGCTGGCTATGATAGAAAGGTGTCAGAACACACAGTGCATCGCAGCTTGCTGCATATGGGGCTGCGTAGCCGCAGACTGATCAGAGTGCCCATACTGACCCTTATCCACCGCCAAAAGCACCTACAATGGGCACGTGAGCATCAGAACTAGACCATGGAGCAATGGAAGAAGGTGGCCTGGTCTGAGGAATCATGTTTTCTTTCACATCATGTGGATGGCCGGGTGTGTGTGCGTTGCTTACCAGGGGAAGAGATGGCACCAGGTTGCACTATGGGAAGAAGGCAAGCTGGCAGAGGCAGTGTGATGCTCTGGGCAATGTTCTGCTGGGTCCTGGCAAGCATGTGGATGTTACTTTGACACATACCACCTACCTAGATGTTGTTGCAGACCAAGTACACCCCTTCATGGCAATGGTATACCCTACTGGCAGTGACCTCTTTCAGCAGGATAATGCGCCCTGCTACACTGCAACACTCATAACTTACAGGACTTAAAGGATCTGCTGCTTAGTGCCAGATACCACAGCACACCTTCAGAGGTCTTGTGGAGTCCTTGTGCCTTGATGGGTCAGAGCTGTTTTGACGGCACAAGGGGGACCTACACAATATTAGGCAGGTGGTTTTAATGTTATGGCTGATCGGTGTAAATAGCCACTCTTTACAACTGTGGTGAACAGAAAAGCATCTCAGAATGCACAACACATTGAACCACATCAAGTTCCACTCCTGTTAGCCAAGAACAGGAATCTGAGGCTACAGTAGGCACAAAACTGGATAGGTGAAGATTGGAAAAAGGTGAGCTCGTGCCCACTGTTTTAAAAATGATTCCAATTTCCTACACTGTGCTCCAATGTTGGATTTTTTGTCAAGTAGTGCTCTCTGTGAAAGAGTTTTTCTTGACCAACCCCCCAAAAAACAAGCACTTGTACTGCAAAAATTATATTTTAATGTATTCAGTGTGGGCAAATTTATCTAGTATTTCTTATATTTGATTTATTATAATGCCTTATGAAATTATTATAAATCAAATATAAGGTTAAGGACAAGACTATTTCACGCTTGAAATTAGTAACAAATGTCTATAAATAGGTTTAATAATCTTATATTTGGTTTATTGCAATCTTATGATAGGGAATACTATAGTTTTATTTTTTCCTTGCTAAGATGTGTGCATTTAAGTCTAAAATGTAGATAGTAATGAAAAGTCCAGACTTCATTCTGTGATACATGATTTCATTCTGCGATACATCAACATATTAATTGGATAACACCTTCTAAAATACTATTCTAACATATATCAGATCATAAAAATGCACAGCAAATAGAAAAAAAGCTGCATTTTTTAACAGAATTAACTGTTCAGCTTTCCATTAATCACAAAGTATTTTTACACTCACAGATACTATCATTGTGTTGACTATTTAAACGCTATGCAAAAATATGAAGCTTTGGAGTGAAAAAATGTGTGGATGATTCATAGGATTATTTACTTCATAATATTACTACTATATTTTGACCTTGCTTTTAAACAGCATTTCAAAATATGAATTTTAGGGTGCAATATGATGATAGATACAAAACCAAGACTAGACTTAATGCAGCTCCTTGCCGAAATGGCCTGCATGTGTTCATGGCCAGTATCATGGATAACTGAGACACAAGTTTGTTTTTGGTGAACTCACTCATGCAAATGTTCAAGGAGTACTAAAGTCATAGTTAATTGTGAGTCATTTCAGTATTACAGATTTGACACATTTCTCTAAACTCAGGTCACTGCTCTCAAAACCATTAACACAGCCATCTGAACACTTTGTAATTATCTTAAATTGATTGTAAGTTTTTGTCATTTCATACAAATTACAAATTACATACATAATTTTCTCAAAACACTATGCACAAAAGTCTTCAAAAGTGTTTTCATAATAGATCATATAGCCAACTACAACTTTAATATATCAGGAAAAAAGCAATTGCAGCTTTTTTATTGGTTTAACACAAATCACAAACATTTATGTAGCATTTTTCCAAACACAACAAACAAAATTCTGTTATTAGTTAATTTCTCAGTTGCACATGGTATCTTCTCAATTAGCCCCAAATTGATATCTGCTGAGTTAGTAATACACACAACAGGAAATGCAAATTTCCTAATTGTTTACACAACTGTAAAAGGGGAAAAGAAAAAAGATTCCAATTCCACCATTCACCATTCATCATTCTATATCTGAAATTCTATATCTATATCTATACCACATACCATCTATATATACCACAAAACTCCTAATTAAAAACTTCACAATAAACATGTATTTTCATTCATGTTTGTGTGTGTCTGCAGCTGTATATGTTTTAAAATCAACAGAGAACACACTTGTAGTTTTGATGTTAATATTTATTTTTAATAAATGCATTACTAGAATAAAACGCAGTGCTTCATTACGCAGTACAATTGAACTGTTTGGCCAAGATAAGAGTGTGTTTAGTTGGCTGTGCTAATTGTTTTGAGAGCAATTACATTAATTTGGAGAAATGTGTAAAATTGATCAAGAAAAACTGTAACTCCTGACCTCTTTTTGCATGTGTAACTCAAATTACTAAAATGACCCAAGATTTGAACTAAGTACTATGTTATTAATCAGAATTGCAAATGGGCTTTATGCACTGTACTAATCTCAAAAACCGCAGCAATAATAACACAAATCCATGATAATAACAGTAATAACACACTTCTACAGGAAGTATACCTAATGAGATATACACTAACATGCACAAGTGCTTGTTGGGTTTATTTAAAGACACATTTATTGAACAAACTGAATGCTACTGTATGGCACCAAGAAATGACCACCCTTTTTTCTTTAGCAGTCTAAATAGGTGGTCATTTCTTGGTGCTCAGAGTTTAGTGTATGAGACTCACACCCACTCAACAATAACTATTGTTTGTTAGTGTAGATAGTGTACTATTGTGTGCCTAACTCTGTTTGCATGATCCTTGGAGAATACAGCACTTTGAGGAAATTTGTCTCATATCTGTGCTTCTGACAATTAAATCTAAACTTGGTTTTTATATTATCTATTGCCTATCTCAAGGCCAGAAACTCCACCGGGAAATTAGTTTTGTTTACTGAAATATCCTGCAACAAAGATTTCTAGAAGTGATAACACTTATGATAAGTGATTAGAGACCTAAGGTTTTGTGTTTAATCATTTTCTTTTGCACAAGCAATTATATCAGTTCTTTTTTTTTTAAATGGTCTTGATGTCAACATCTTGCTTCAGTAATCCATTATTTTAAGCCTATACAGTATCAAAAGCTGCCATAATGTTAAAAACCTTGTACACTTGATTTAAATCAGGGGTGTCCAAACGTTTTTAAAGGGAGCCAGATTAGACCTCATTAAAATACCCTAAGGCCACAGTCATATACACATTCATATACTTTCTTGAAAATCCATTTTAGTTAATGACTCTTTCAAGAAGTCAAGAATTCATAAAAAGGTTTTCAATGCTTAGTGGTTTCCAGCTCTTTTGAAATCGCCCCTTCTCACTGTTAACTTTGCACTTTTACTCTGTAGCCATGACTGAATATTTTTCTGTAAATTAATTCGCTGGTGTAGTCAGGGGAAAAGGTAGTTAGATAACATTTTAGCTAACTGTGTTAACACAGTGTGCTGTGTTAACAAAGGAAAAATTGCAATGTGTTGGCTGGCAGGCCACCTATCATACATTCTTAAAGAAAAGCCATGGGCCAGTTAACATCTGTCCTGGGTTGCTTTTGTCCCTGGAGCCGGACTTTGGACCCCTTGATTTAAATTGTTGTACGAGTAGTTGTGTACAGTCATGTCTTCTTGCTATGTGTGCACTTTTCAACTCTTATGTCCAACTGTTTGTGTCCAGCATTTTCTTTAAAATAAAGTGACAATAAGTGTGCATGACTTCCAAACCCACAAACAGTGGATAAAATCCAAAGATATGGTTAGTTGTTAGAATGGAAAGCAATGCTGACTGGCACTATTGCTCACCTGTGCATGAGTCTGAATGGGTGGATGATAGAGAGGGAGCAACTAAGGAGAGGGGATTTTCAGTTGTTGTTTCTCTTCTTCTTTTGGCTGCTCCCATTAGGCGTCACAACAGCGGATCATTGGTCCGCATATTTGATTTGGCACAGTTTTTGGCAACCCTCCCCAATTTTATCCAGGCTTGGGACTGGCACTGAGAGCGCACTGTTGTGTGCAACCCCAGTGGCTGGGGTGGGTTCCCTGGCTGGGAATCGAACCCGGGCTAAGGAGGTGAGAGTGCCATGGCCTAACCACTAGCTCTCCAGGGACCCTGACAGGGGATTTTCAGTACTCGTTAAATGTTTATCTGGTAAAGCCAGTCTAAATAGGGTTATATTTTCACTTACGTACCATAGAAATTGGTATAAAGTGCCTACTCTGAAATAACAGAAACAAGAGAGAACATTAGATTGCTCCCTGGACACAGCTAATGGCTCCCCAACCTGCTGTTCATTCTGGTGTTTTTCTTGCATTATGAGCATATTTTTTTCAGTTCCAGATTTTAATGTGAACAGTCTGCACAAACAACGTTCATTAGAGAAGTTCAACCTTGAATGCTAAAATGAAATGCTGAGGGAACACAACGTAACATTGCTTGCACAAGGACATCACTTTCCTTATGCCAGCATGTGGAATATTATACATAGCACATTTCACAATGGACAATCAGCACTAACAGACATTCTCCGTGTCTGTCTGAGTATATCACAGGAATTAGGTACTTGGGTACTGCAGACCTTCGATTTATATTATTGGTCAGATGTGCATTGCAGCATCTGAAAGAATGATGAAGAGCCTGAAGACAATCTGAGCCAGTGTTACTTCAATCCCTGTAGCTTCAAGATGTTTCCTTTCTGATCAATATACATATAATTGCTATTCTCTTCTAATTCAGGATTGTGTTCAGTTCCATGAAAACATTGTGCAAGTTTCTCCAAACGTATATTACTCAGTTGTAATCACTATACATCAACTGTACATTTACCCATTTCAATCACACTCAGCCTTCTATCTGTATGTAACATATATAGCCCTTACTTTCACTGATAGTAAAATAGATAAAATATACTGTATGTAATATATTAAAACCTATGCTCTAATAATAGTCTTTCTATTTGAATTGAGTCCCAGAAACCTCCTCCTTCCAATTTAAAATAAAGCCATTTAGGATACATTGCTTATTACTCAAAACATATACATTGCAATGTATTGCAAAAGACACTTTATTTGGATAGTCCACTTAAGACACTTTACAGATCATCTGCCATGAATTTCAACCAATGTTCATGTATGTTTCAACAAATGTATCAATATTATAAAATGCATCAATAGAGTCCACATGAATTGAATTTACAATTATGGTTTACACATGAGTTGCTAGTCTATAGATGATCTACTAAATATGAAGAATTAAAAACAGGACCTTCCAAAGAAAGTGAAAGAAAAAAAAGGTACAAGTTGATAGATAGATAGGTAGATAGATAGATAGATAGATAGATAGATAGATAGATAGCTTATGTACTAAACATCAAAAACCATTAAAATTTGATTTATTATTTTAAATTAATTAATAGGCTGATTGTATATCATGTTCATCTCTTCATTCCACAGATTCTTACAGTTGTAACTGAATGGTACACATTCCAACTAAGACAGACTTTAAAGTTTACCCAATGTACAGCCAAACATGTAGTAGCTAGATCATCAGAAATATGCTTGTCTGTTGGCTAATTGTTTTTTTTTTTTATCCCATTTAATACAATGACACAGAAAAAACATCAAATAACTTTTGCTTTAGTAGGGAAGTATAGTCCAGCTCTATCATTACTAATGTCATAGATTACTGGCAGCTTTATTGCTGCTCGTGATACATCATCTAAATTACAGAAAGGAAATATTAAAACCATGAAAGTACTGCTCCAATTACTGCATGCAACACACCAAGAGCATGACTGGCATGAATATGTAAATAATTAAATAAATGTGAAGAAAATGTCAGGAGGCTATTATCAGTAATTCTGTCATTTCATCTCTATTTTTCTTTCTTTCTCAGTACTTTATCCTTACACTAAAAGCTGATTTTTGTCACAGCCATTGATTGCCTTCAGAAAGGTCAGCAGTGCTGCCATCCTTATTATACAAAAGTGCAGGGAACGTGTGAGAGGGTAATTTAATGCACATTTATCATAATACAGAGAATTACTTTCTCCCGTTTCAGTGTAAGATCTTGATCTTTTAACTCTGAATGAATGTATTTCTTAGGAATATGAAATGGGCATTATGAATCATGATCACAAATATAAGACTGTAAGACTGTATTGAGAATGAGACTTTTAACTTTTTGAGCATAGTTTGAGAACCCGCAATCTTTTTTTTTTTTTTTTATTTTATGAGAAAGCTGTCTAATTGTTGGGAATTAAACAGCTAGTTTCTATAAGTTAATGACATAGTGGTGAAGGTAAATGTTCAGTTTTGTCTTTTTTTTCCTCCCTATAAGTCACATTTCCTGCATGTTTGACTAGTAATTCTTACTCACAAAGCAGTCAGACAGTTGGAATTGTTAAGATTACTGTAGCAACTAAAGGAAAACAATGTACCATTATTTTTTTGTGCCATTTATTCCAATAAAAAATATCCAAGTCAATTCAATTCAGTTTTATTCGTATAGTGCTTTTAACATTGGACATTGTCACAAAGCAGCTTTACAGAAATGTATAAATTCAGGATATAAATTTTAAATTTATGAATTTATCCCTAATGAGCATGCCAGCAGCGACGGTGGCAAGGAAAAACTCCCTGAGACAATATGAGGAAGAAAGAGAGGAACCAGAATCAAAAGGGAACCCATCTTGGTGACAAAGGATAGTGCAATTATAAATAAATCCCTTCTATAACTGTGTACTACATGGACAAATAGTGCAACTGTGTAACCAGGAAATTCATTGCAGTTGTTCATTACACATGAAGTCTTTTTTGTTGAACTTATCCACTGTTCACTGATAGAGACTTGAGTGCAAAACTGTTTGTGGCAATTATCGTCCTAAGCCATCATAGCATAACTGTTCATATGAATTGTGATCCAAAGCCATCTTCATGGTTTTTAAGTGCTACCATCTTCAGTAATCTCAGTGATCTTCAGGCTGGCCATGTGGGTCCATCCTCAGCAGCAGCAATTCATGATTTCCAAATGATGAGAACTCCAACCAGAAATAGGGCATCAGGATGGACCAGGCAGGTCAGGAGAGCAGAAGGGGTCAGGATCACTGATATCTCAGGAGTAACATGTGTAGCTTGACAGAAAGCGAGAGAGAGGGAGAGATTATTAGGTATGCTTATTGTCCCGTAATGGTTAAGGACAATGTACTTTGCATGCAGAGTGCAAGCAGGGACTCCAGCAAGGCTAGCAACATAACAGCATAACTAAAAGGGAGAGCCAGAAAGTAACACAGACATGAGGGCACCCTGGGACATAAAGTGTCCAGCCACTCCACTGTCAACAAACCTGAGTGAACCCGTGAGAGTGGGGGGGTGACAGCATCCAAACATCCCAGTTCACCACAACACTCGATGCCCGTGAACCCTTCAGATCTGCTCCTTTACCTAAGGAAAAAACTATTCACAAAAGGCTTGACTAAACAAATGTTTTCAGCCTAGACTTAAACACTGAGACTGTGTCTGAGTCCCGAATTGGAATGCTGATCCATAACTGTGGGGCTTTGTAAGAGAAAGTTGTACTCCCTGCTGTAGCCTTCACTATTCAAGGTACCAACAAATAGCCTGCACTGTTTGATCAAAGTAGGCATGGTGGATCATAAAAGACCAAAAGTTTGCTCAGGTACTGTGGTGTGAGACCATTCAGTGCTTTATAGGTCAAAAGTAGTATTTTATAATCAGTACAAAATTTGATTGGGAGCCAATGCAGTGTGGATAAGATAGGGGTGATGTGGTCATATTTTCTGGTTCTAGTAAGGATTCTTGCAGCTGCATTCTGGACTAACTGGATCTTGTTTATGCACCTACTGGAACAGCCAGACAGTAAGGCATTACACTAATCCAACGATCCGATAATCCAACAAAAGCATGAATATATATATATATATATATATGGGATGGTTCTGTTCAGAATTCCAGTCAGAGTTTTATTTTTCTCCAGTTGAATTCCATATTTTAATGCATGCTGATTTTACTACTGTTTGAGTTGTCCAAAAACGCTAATGTATATCTGTCTCTCTCTGTCTCTCGTATTTAGATTACTGTGAAGAACCACTGCTGGCATCGCTCCCCTCAGCCTCCTTTCAGAGTTCATCAAGGTCTTCTGACAGCCACTTACCACAATTTGCAAAACTCCACACCAGAGATGGTACATGTTTAAATTATTTTATTTCAGCAGTTAGCTGCAGTTCCCAAGAGCTATTACACAGGGCCTGTTGGAGTTGTTTGATCTTATTGAGTGCTACTTTCATGGCTTATCAATGCAGGTGATCAGACCTGAAAGGGAGCACTAGTGAGAAATGTGTTCTTGTCCAGAATATCTTTACTCAAAGCTGTTTGAATACTGTAGGTAGTGTGCAATGAGCTCTGTCTGCAAAAGGTATAGCCTGTCTCAGTGTATGGTGACCTCCACAAGCAAGGTTCATCTTTTAGTGACGATGTAAGCATTGATGACACTGTCTGTACGCTATTCAAGGAGCACTTAGGTGACAGATTCACAATGCAAAAATTTAGTCTCAGTTTGTAATAAAGACAGTTCTTGACCTTTCATTTATTAATAAGCATGTAGTTCTGAAATTCAAGGGTCATTGTTCTAAGGTTTTGACAAACCAACAAGGTGAAATGGTTTTTAATGTGCCCTTGTCAGTTTTATCTCATGAACTGAAATTCTATGTTGTCTATAACAATAGTGGCCACAGCATCAAAGAATAGAGTATATCAGGGAACAGATTGTTGTTTATTACCAGAGTTATATCTGTTTATATTTGTTTATCTTATTATCTAGCTACTCAGACAACAAATGTACACTGCACTGGATTAAGGCCAAATATAGTACAGCATCTGCTACAGATCTGAATAGCAGAGCCTGCCTGGTATCCTCTTGCACAATGGCCATATAATGGAACTGATCTGTTTTATGTATTTGCCCCAAAACAGATTTATAACTGGACCAGGTTAACAAAGAATAATCTTCAATCTGGTCCTAAGCTGTGGCATGTCTGAATGTTATTTTTAATATCTGGCCCAAATGTAGCGCAGACCCAGTTCAATAGTGGTT